TCTTTCCCTGACTGATAGGCACTGGTGCAGGGTCAGTGCGTTTGACGCGTGTCCTTTCTACGGTGCTGATAAAGACCCTGAGTGCTTGTATTTGTTAGTGTGTGGTAAGAAACTTTCCTCTGAACTTCTATGATTTTACTCTTTCCAGATTTACGTGTGACGATGTTGACTTCAACTTGCGCGTCCACAGCGCTGGTCTTCTCATCTGCAGGTTCAATCACTTCAGTGTCATGAAAAAACAAATTACAGTAGGAGGACAGCGATCCTTCCACATTAAGTCTAAGGTGGGAACTGAGATCTCTGTTTCATTATTGTTAAAAGTTTGTTTTCCTTTTTTGTACCCTGTAACCAGGAGAGCTTAGGTATTTCGGTACATCACCACTTATCAGTAATAGGGTATGTCTGCCATGTAGGGGTTTTTAAAAATTTATGTCTGAAATTCACAATATTCTTGGCATAAATGCACCTTTCCTTAATAATTTTCCTCTAAAACTTTTAAAGACACCTAAAGTGTCTTCACGATCCAAGTAACGATTCACTGTGAGATTTTTATCTATAGCTATTGAACTGCTCATCTTCATATGCAGGAGTACTTTGGGTTCAAAGAAGAAACCTCAAAGACTCTATAAATATGAATATAATTCTGTGAAACTCCAGAAGTTTTTGATAACAGGTATTTTTTGGCTGAATGACTTTGCTTCTTACATAAATCTTAGATTTGTAGAATAGATATATATTTTATGCAACTCAAAATTCAGGTAAGTACAACTTGATTGATCAGGATTGATCTGTACCGGAAATATTTTTTCCTCATAGGTATCTGACACTCCAGTTTCAATCTCCCCTGCTCAGTACATTTGTGCTCCTGACAGCAAGCATACTTTCTTGGCAGCACCTGCTCAGTTACTCCTTGAAAAATACCTCCACTATCACAGCCATCGCTTCTTCCCTCTCTCACTGAAGAATTACAGCCATCCAGTGCTCTCTGTGGACTGTTACCTTAACTTAGGACCACAGGTACTGAACAAAATAATCTTCAAGCAGTTCTAGAAATGTGTAGGCTCTGTTTTGGATGAGTTCATTGATGCATTCCTTAGTAATAGCTACACAGCCTTTGAAGAATCAGGTATTGGATCCCTATAATGTTAAAATCAAATTCTTAGTCCCATAGAGATATTATTAGACGTTTCAAATAAAGTACATGGAGAACACCACCAGAGTTGTCCTAAATGCTAATATAGTCTGTGAATTATATTAGATTCTGAGTTAACATGGAGATCATTTTTCTTTAAGAAGTGTTTTCTTAGTCTGCTATAATTTGGCCCTTCCTACAGCAAATATCTTCCACAAGAGTGTTTTACAAATACTAGCTAGCCCTTAGAAAGCACTTCAAAATACAAATATTTTAGTTCACTTTTGATTGATAAACTGAAGCAGGGAAGCAAATACCGAGAAAACAGTCAGAATGAGAGAAGTTGACATTAGTTCTCTGGAGCTGTTGGCACTCTCTGCCGAGTTTGGATCTAAAGCCAAGGTCATACTTAAACTCAAATGTAAGTCAGATAGAAGTGTGATATTAAGGTGGTATTGTTCAGGAGACAGAAATGGTTTTTACCTTTTTGCCTGACTTGAATACTAAATGAAATTCAGTCTTGCCAGATTTACTTAACCAGAACATATATGCTGCTCCCAGAACATTTTTAACTGTATCTTTTCATTTCCTTTCTGGCTGAGCTCTTATAGCTCTATGTTCCTACCATGTTTGGAAAAATTCTGTGGAAAGGCATTGTACTGTTACAGTCTTCATCCATTGCATCCTTTCAGTTCTAACCCATTCAGCACATGAAATGAGTTCAATTTGGTTCTGGAATTGTTACCTGAGCTGGAATACGATGCAGTAGGATTGAAGGAATAGGGATAAAATATAGGCATCCCGGGCCAGAGTCTCAGCTGCCTCTGAATCATGCTGATTTATACCAGATGAGGGTCTACCCCAGCTAAGTAATACAATGACACTTTGGAAACAAAGCCTTGTGTAGAAGATTCCTTAATTTAAATTTATAAATCCTGAAGGAGTGCTATAAATATTCCCAGTTCCTAGTGGATTTGGGGAGTAGCCATAAAAACAAACTAGACAAGAGAAAACCTCATGCATTTATGTATGTGCACAACTCTACTGACTTGAGTAATTCTGTCATAATGTAAATGAAATTAGGCATTTCTAAAGGGTTCTTTTCATGTCTGACTGCACAGTTACTATATTTACTCATGTGTAGATAAACTGTGCTGGGCAGGTCACAGCATTATGGTTGTGGGGAGCTATTGTTACTGCAGGTTTCAAACCCTATCATATCTAAACCTGATGATAATAACAGCAATGAATAGTAACAACTAATGCATAGTTATGAATCTTGCTTTTATGTAGACTTCTAATAAGCAGAGAGATGTTTAGGAAGGAACTACAAAGATCACAATATTTGGAAAGCAAGTCTGAATTTGCATCAAGTGCAAATACTGCAAGCCTCATATCAAGTTGTAGCTTTATATAGAAGCTTAAAAAATACTTTTTTTTCCCCTCTCCCAATCAGATTGCAGTTTGCTACGTGAGTTCTCGGCCTCACTCTCTGAATATCAGTTCCTCTGGTTTGACATTCAGTGGTCTCCTGCTATACCTGTGTGACTCCTTTGTTGTAGCTAGCTTTTTGAAGAAGTTTCATTTTCTTAAAGGTGAGCTGCAATAATCTTATTACAGAAAGTGATATAACCTGGTCTCTGGGAACCTGGGAAAAATTTATTTTATATAACATATATATGTGTATATATGTATATGCATGTATTCATATTTGTCTTTATATGTCCCGCCCATCTTTGATGCTTGATCATGCTGGCTCTGTGCTGTAGTAAACTGGTAGGTAACAGGGCTAAGATTTCTAAGTGGGGTGGAATGTTGGATATAGTTAAAGATGTCCCTGCTCACTGCAGAGGGGTTGGACTGGATGACCTTTAAAGGCCCTTTCCAACCTAATGCATTCCATGATTCTATGATCTATATCATTATGCCTAGTGTATATACATAACTCCTTAATAATAACTCCATTTTAATCAGCCAATGGTTTCCCTAACAAGGCTATCAGAGTAACTACAAATGAAAGCAGTGCTTTTGTACTGCATTTCTGAGTGACCAGAGGCTATCAATCAGTTTCATGTTGCATAAACCAGACAGTTTTTATAGTGTGTGGCACAAAGTGTATTTGATTTGGGATTTCTCCATTTCCCTTGGCAATCTACTTGATTTTCTAACCAGCCACATGAGCATCAAACACCACAGGCCTGCCTGTTTTGTTTCTTCTTATATTCCCAGCTTTTTTTTTGCCTCAGGCATTTCCACTTACCTCACCATCTCTCATTCAAATTATTGAATGCTGGCTAGGTATTATTTCCTCTTCATTGAGCACTTTTCTCAGAAGCCAGGAACTCATGCATGCAAGTTAGAACAGTATCAGCATGCCAGGCAAGACACTTGATATTGCTTACTAAAATATGGTATTTCTTACTTTGGCATTCTGGATTCACCTGTGTCCATAGCCATGCAGACCAGATTCTTCTTTGCCAGCGCATTAGCTTACCAATCTGAAAAGCAATAACATTTGTGATTAGTTTTAAGGACATGTTGAGACCATTTCTGATCAGCAAAGCACAAAGAACTTAATCAGTGGTGACTGACTTGTGGTTTGTTTTGTTGAATGAGGCTTTCACTCCACAAAAAATTGATTAGTAGGGCTAGAACAGTAATGGATGTAGGGCTTTATCTTGTTTTCTGCCAGGACCCATCACCACCTCCTTAAACCTGACAATTTTACCCTTCCTTACCCTAAAGAGTAGGGAATGCATTCTTAGTTAGATGAATACTAAGTAACTCAAGTTACACAAGAGGATCCTGATAAATAGGGAGCTGAAGATAGCTCTCCTCAGCCCTACACCAGTGTCTTAATTTTCTCCCAAGCCCATTTGTAACTCCTGCTGTGAAAGTGGTGGAGTTGTGGCATGTTGGGGGGGGGGGCTGGGTGATCTGAGAACAAAGGGATACTCACCTGGGTTTCTTTTTAACCTTTTGCTTAGGTGCCACCCTATGTGTGATTTGTCAAGATCGCAACTCTCTTCGCCAGACTGTTGTCCGGCTAGAGCTGGAAGATGAATGGCAGTTCCGACTGCGGGATGAATTCCAGACTGCCAATGCAAAAGAGGACAGACCCCTCTTCCTCCTGACTGGACGACATATTTAATTGAAAAGAGACACATTTTCTGAACGAGACAAGAGACTGCCACCATTTCATGAAATGACTTTTGAGAGGCTTTGCTTTCTGAAGAGAAACAGGATTGTTTTCCATTGTTTATTAGAATGATATCTAATCAGACAAGTTACACTCATATTTCCAAACACCGAAGTGACTTTTCTAACTTAATTATCTGATGGAAGTTACTCCTAATTCCAGTGAGAGACATAGGAACTTACTACTCCACATGGCGGAAATAATTTTAGATCAGAAGGGAGGTCAATGAGTGCACTTCTTCTGTGCAAAAGAAACCACACGCAAGTTCACAAGCAAGAGTTTTAGAAAATGTTTTGTACATTCCAGAAATAGGAAATGTAAAGTCTTATTTATCTAACAGTTGGCACAAGGCAACAGGAATTGTTACAGTTTTGTAGTATACTGCTACTGATTGATCCAGGTAGGCTTTTTATAAGAAGATTTGTAAAGTATATTTCTTTAATAGTGGAAACTCAGTTGGAGCCTTAATTTTTAGAACAGGTGCCACACTGGATAGTTTTACCATCCAGGACTCAGTTTTACCATCCAGGACTCTGGGGATAGAAACATAAATACATATCTGGTTTCACTAGCATAACAAAGAGTGTCAACATAATAGATTCTAAAATGAGATCTGAACACTTAAACTTGAAACTGAAATTATCTTGAGTAACTGAAGAGATCAGATGGTGTGACTGACCTGCAAGTGACTTATTGCATCTAAAACAGTGGTGTTTTCTGATTAAATTGTTGCACTGGCTGCAGATTTCAAGCTGGGCCCAGTGCACGCAAGGCAGCAGATGAGACAGCTTTGAAACACACCCAATACATTTTCTGGGGATATTTTCTTGCCAAGGTGCTTCAAAATAGTGAGAACATGGGGATTACCTCTCTGAGGAATTCAGGTAGAAATCTAAAACTATGTTCTAGGTTGGCACCAGGAATCACAGTATTTTGTATGCTCTAAATGTGAAGTCGGTGATCACAGTCTTTGTCTAGGTTTTTGGAAATTCTCTCTGAGTTGCAAAATTCCTGTTTGTGTTTATAGAATCAGTGTTAACTTCACTCAGTCCAGGTGCAGGAGGAATGAGTATTCTGACATTCTCAGAAGACTTCTAATATTTGGACAGTCTTTTCTTGCTGGATACACCAAGGGGAGTATCATTGACTTTATACTGATGAAATGCATTAGGTGGCTGAGTCCATTACCATACTGGCCTTGAAATGCAGACATCGGTATGACTATGTCAGAGCTCATTTAGGTTCATTTTCAAGGAAAAGGTAAGTTCAGTAAGTTTGAGAGACTGAGATAACTATTTACAAGATAACTGCTAGAAATCAGTGTGTTTCTATATTTCATTGTCCTTGTTTTAGAGTGAGAATTCACTTTCAGTTTTGGGAGGGAAGGTGAGCATTGTCCCATGAAAATAGTATTACCTGTTCAGTTTTCACCAGTTGCTCAGTTAATTTAAACTTTTTAAAGAAATGTGACATTCATGTCTAATCCATCCTGTGTAAATAAAGTTCATGCTGCATGGACACTGGTCTGTCAAGTGCACTTTTATGGGAGGGGTGGGGAAAGAAAAGGTTTGGCTGAAAGGAGTTAATGTAATTAAGGAATGGCCTGAACTGATCAAGAGAAAATACAGTACTGCTTAACCGCCTAAAACATAATGCAGCCTTAAAGGCATAGGAGTTTTTACAAGAACTCAGAACTAAAGACAGCAGGTTGAAATCTCCTTCCTTTAAACAAATACTTAAACAATTTATACCAAGTGACTGTTACTTTTCCAGAATATCACAGAATATCAGGAGTTGGAAG